TTTATCTGTTGCTACGTTTCCAGTACTAGAACCACAGCGGCAAAGGGTTCTTATGCCAATTCTTGTCAGGGTCATATCAAGAAACATCAGTTTGTCAGAATTTTGGTGCACCTCCTCTACCTCAGACTTAATTCTTGGAGGAACCACTGAACTCAGCATCAAGTACCACATTAAGGGAGTTAAATCACAAAGTTGCTTTCTGGACTATTTAAAACCACCAATAACTTGCAACTACTCTTCTAGACCTACAACTTTCTGAACATCCAGAAGTTGCTTTCTGGACTATTTCAAACCACCAATAATTTGTAACTACTCTTCTAGAGTTGTAACTTTCTTAACATACCAAGATTGGTTCCTGAACTATTTCAATGGACTTGGATTCAGTATATCTGGAGGTCGTGAGCCAGATCCCTATAAGGAGGCCTGTCAGGTAAGTTCATTCATAGTGGTCACTCATCAATTTGCTTGAATTTAAAATATGAAGTGAGTTATTGGTGGATTGAAATAGTCCAGGAACCAACCTTGGGATGTTCAGAAAGTTACAACTCTAGAAGTTTACGTACAAGTTATTGGTGGATTGAAATAGTTCAGGAACCAACCTTGGGATGTTCAGAAAGTTACAACTCTAGAAGTTTACGTACAAGTTATTAGTGGTTTGAAATAGTTCAGAAACCAACCTTGGAATGTTTAGAAAGTTACAACTCTAGAAGTTTACGTACAAGTTATTGGTGGATTGAAATAGTTCAGGAACCAACCTTGGGGTGTTCAGAAAGTTACAACTCTAGAAGTTTACGTACAAGTTATTGGTGGTTTGAAATAGTCCAGAAACCAACCTTGGTATGTTCAGAAAGTTACAACTCTAGAAGTTTACGTACAAGTTATTAGTGGTTTAGTTATGTTTGGTAATTAGCAATTACATTCTTGTAGATATTCACTTACTGGATGTTCATTAAATTTCAAAATGGTAAATTTGTTCTTGAAAAAGAAAGTATGTGGAATATCTATAAGGAATACATTTTTGTAACATGTAACAACTGTTTCCAACTGTTCTTCTGTCTTCCAAGCAACCAAAAGTGTTCTTCTGTCTTCCATTAACCAAAAGTACCTGAATGATAAGAAAAAAACATTATATAAGCTCACTGAAGTATTTTTCTATTGGTTAATACTCAGAAAATTTTTACACTGTTTACTAAAGAGAGATAAGTAGTTGGATTGTATAATTTTTATAGTACTTGCTGCTTTTTTCCATATCGTGATACATTTTTCAATTTTCAGATTGTTTACACTACACTAATTAGAGGTCATCACTCATCAGGGAAGACAAGATGATCAGTAAACATTTAAAGATAAACCACTTCAATCCCCTATGTAAACTTCCCAATTAAGAAGATGGAATAATCTGCAGTATCAATATAAAGTGTAGTATTGTAGAAACATAATAATTAACAAATAAAAAATGTCTGAACATAAGCACCATAGATTGTATACCTAGTTTTATCTTAAGAACAGAATACCAAACAACAGATGTACTTAAGAGTAGCTATCAGTACATTCTGGTGCTACATCTAAATTATTAAGTTCACATAATGTTCACCGATTTTCTTTAGTTGTGAAAGAAACACGGTGCTTCACAAAAACTATTTCTTTTCCTATTATGGTAAACACATTACAAACCTACAAAGCAAATACACACAACACGAGAATGTGAAATGTGTCAGATCCAGTGAAGTAATTATTGAGGACAAAATACTATAGAACTGACTTGAACATTTTCTAGTTGCTATTATAAAAGTCAGAAGATGAAACATTTCTCAAACGAGTCTAAATACACTGGATGCTGCTTATTGTGATCACGGATAATGTTATCGTTCGTATAATGTTATCAGAATTACTAAGTCCTGACCAAATGTATATAAATACATAGGAAAACATTGTTTATTGGAACCAGTGCTTTATTTTCTGTTATCACTTTTAATCAGCTTAACTATCTTGAGGTCAAGCAACCTGAGGAAGATTCACCATAAAATATGGCATGGCTAAGTTATTATGCTCTTGCGTTTCCTTTCCATAACTACAGAATTACAGTTGCTTTCATTCCTTCATGAAATACGGTGCTCCCACAAATTTCAATTATTGTTAACACTCTTTAATAATGGAAGAAATGCATAATAAACGTAACAATCTAATCCTTAAAAAAGTTGCCATTTTAAAACACTATGATAATTTACGAAAAATGAGGCAACGTAATGCAGCAGTGCAATTAAAAACTTTGTGTAAAATTTTAAAAAATCGACCCAACATTGAGAGGCGAGCAAAACAGAATGAAAACATAAACTGTAAGAGAAAGTGCAGTGGAAAAGATGACCAGGTTAAATCAGCATTAAAACTTTGGTTTACTAATGTTCTGTCAGACTGTTATTCGAAAAGATCCATAATTGAGAGATATGAAGAAGCTGAAGCCCATAAAGATGATAAACCTTCAACAAGTGCTGAAATGCGAGAGGCGCTTCGAATTTTGCGACTTGGTGTACATCACAGATCAGGCGAGTTTCATAAACAGTA